TGTGTTCTACTTTCTAATGGAAGCTCCTAGAGCACAAGCTGCTTAACTTCTTCAGAAGAGAATTTAAAGAAAATGGGACAGTGTGGTAGTTGAGGTTATTTGTCAACTTGGCTGGGCCTGGTTTTGAGTGGCTGGGCAACTGGATATAGTTATTCCCCAAGATGAGATTGTAATCACCTCTATGGTGGTGTCTGCTGGAAGATGTTAATCAGCAGAAGGGGAGCTGCCTTTGGGGTGTGGCCTGCTTCTAGTATATAAGCAGATGCTTTGAGGAAGGTGTCTAGTTTTTTGGCACATCTGTATCCTGCATTTGGCCAAGTCACCAGTGGCCTGCCATGTTGCCTGCACATCTTGGAATTGTTCCTGGACTTGAACCAGTGGTCTGCCTTATTGCTTGCCAATCTTGAGACTGTGCCATTTGACCTGTCCATCCACAGCCTCAGTAGCCAGCAGCTGTGTGTTAAAAACTTCCACTTCTGGTATTTTCTGTTAGAGCAGCACTAGAGTACTGAGGCAGAGCCATTTTGGAGCATAGTGCCTCAACATTGTAGGAATTCAATAAAAGCTGGGGAAGTGTTTCTAGGAGTAGATGGTTAGAAAAAAAAGAAAAAGAAGGAATAAACTTGTATTTCTAACATGGAACTACCTCTAATTAAAAAAAAAAAAAAAATTGTCCTTGAGATGATGCCAGTTATTCTGTAGGACAGAATACAACTGCCCCGTAGAGTTTCCAAGACTGAAATCTTTACAGAAGCAGATTGCCACATCTTTGTTCAAGTGGGTGGGTTTGAGCTTCCAAACTTTTGACTAACAACTGAGCACTTAACCACTGTGCCACTGGGGCTCTTTTCCAATTAATAAAAATGATGACTTAAAATATATCAATACTGCATCTATTTATTATCCAATTATTGAATCCCAGAGTTGAGAACAATGAGAGTTGTTTAAAGTGAGAAGTTCTAAAGGGAAGTACTGTTCTGAATAACATATAATGATCAGTTGTTATACAGAATTGTAGAATTTAATGTGAAGATAATTGCATGGATTATATGGTTTTCAAAATATACCATGGAATGTATTTTATTTTTAATCCCAGTATTAGCTTATTTTCCTAATTATTTCTGTCTTTCATTTAAAATAAACGTTTCCCAGTGCCTTCACATGGGAATGCTGTATTTTTAGCTTGATGACCAAAGACCTTTTCAATTAAAAAAAGAAAGAAAAAAGTTTTGCCTGATTGTTACACAGTGAAATTCTTGCCTAGGTTTGGAAAGAATAAGTTGACCTGCTTGAACAAAGTAATACCTGAGCATTTAGATATACCTGATCTTTTGGATCAATCAAGAACTCAGTATTGCTTTTTCACAATTTGTGTTGCAACAATACATATTTAGCATCTGCATGCTTGAGGCAATATATTGGACACTCAACATAAAGAAGTGAGGAAAACAACCACAGTGTTTGCCCATCTTGAGCAATTAGCATAAATTATATTCTGTTATCTACAGTTTTGAGGATAAAAGATCCTTGTGAAGATATTTAGTCAAAGGCTTTGTAAGTTTTAAATTCAGAAGATAAACTTTCACGATATTCCCAAGAAAATTTAAGTATAGCCATGTGTCACTTAATGTCCATGATATGTTCTGAGAAAGGGTATTATGTGATTTGGATGGTAGACAATCACCGTGTTATATACAAGCATGACAAATCTGTCTTTAAGTCAGATTTGTACATAACTGGGAACAGTTAGGTACAGTTCTTATCTGACATGAGTTAGGCAAACGTTTGTCTTCATATACAGTATATAATGTATCTGGTAGTGAAGGTTATGTGTCATGTTGGCTGGAGCTGGTTTTGAGTGGCTGGCCAACTGGTGGTAGTTACTTCCCATGACAAGACTGGCGCTCAGTTACATGGTAGAATCTGTCATGAGCAACCGAATAGCTACATTAGGGATGTGGTCTGCTTCCCGTATATAAGGAGAACCATTGGGAGTGGTCTGCACCTTTTTGGCACACTTGAACCCTGTATGTAGCCAGTTCATTGTTCAGCAGCTTGCTATGCCCTGCTGATCTTGGGACTTTTTCTGGACTTTAATTAATGGCCTGCCATGTTGTTTGGTAATATCAGGACTGTGCCTTTTTACTTGTCAACCTTGGGTTTGTCAGCCTGCCAAAGGGGCAAGGAGGCCACATCTTTGGACCTTCTCTAAACCAATAATAGGAAGTCAGAATCACCATCAGCAACCCAAGGCCTATTCCTGTGAGGCCAAACATGCTGCCTCCCTCCAGCCCTTTCATCAACCCTGACACCAGCGGTTCCTCCTGCAGCACCCACCGCCTTTCTGCTGGCTTCGATAATTCACTGCAGTGGCCACACAGAACTCAAAGATTATGGGGTTTATTAGGGAAGCACCAGGCTACAATTCAAATTCAGGAAAAATGCTGTCATTCTCAGCCCGCCATCTCTCAGCCAGTAGTCTCTCTCCCAGCAGTGTGTGTGTCTTGGTGTCTCTCTCTCAGGAGCATATCTTTCTCAGCCAGCAGTCAGAGAGACTTCTTCTGCCTCTAGGAGGGCTCCTTTTGAGGCTGAAACAACCAATCCCAACATCAGAATTCTATACACCTGGGAGAGAGAGAACTTCCCAGAAAATTACTTTGTGCTGCTCCCAACAGAAATACCCCAGGTGGATGACTTTAACAATCAGAAGCTACCCAGTTTCTCACAGCAAATACCACCATGAAGTTTACAAAGACATATGGCTAGAAAAGCCATACCAGGTAATTTACTACACCACACAGCCTCAGCAGCCAGCAGCTTCCTGAATGAAGAAAAGCCTCCAGCTTCAGTGGGCTGGGAGTAGGAGGCAAAGCTGAAGCCTAAGGATGAGGGGCTTTCACCCAGGCCTTAGAGCCTACCACTTTGAATTCAGATTTCTAACCTCCAAGTTGTAAGAGAATAAACTCTTGTATGTTCAAGCCATTCCCGTTGTATTTTCTGTTAGAGTGGCACAAAGTAACCAAAAGACTATGCATAAAAATATTCCAGTTATACTGGGAGCTCTGATGACATAGTGCCTAAGGCATTTGACTGCTAACCAGAAGGCTGGTCATTCAAACCCACCAAGCACTCCTTGGAAGAAAGACTGGGCAATCTACTTCTGTAGAGATAATGCCTTGGACACCCAAAAAGAGGTCGCTATGAGTCAAATCGACTCGAGGGCAGTGAGCTTATTTTTGTTTGTCCAGTTACACTACAACATTTTTAACATAATAATACAGTAATAATGATGATGTTTTGATGCACATCACAAAGTAGCACCCATTTGTTATTATGAACTATTATATGTACCTCAAATTTTTAATACAAATTTATGGGTACTGGAACCATGGACACATATGTAGTTGGATGTTGCCTGACCAGATGTTATGCAACACATGGACTGTATATTAAGCAATTCTAGATAGCAGTTTGATTTAACTTGTATTTTAATATTAGTGTAAAATGTGAAGATTTTGATAGGAACACAGTTATATTATCCTCATTGCTTAAAAATCAATGTAGGTAATTGAATTAAATAACAACAGATTAAAGAGAAATTTAAATTAGGTGTAGGGAACTACTTTTGGAGCAATGAGAATCAGATGACCTACTTTCAGGAATAAGAATCATGTGCCATTACTGATATTTGACCAAATTTTCATTCTTTTCTGTACCATCAGACCCTTTTGAGATCAGTTAAGTGTCTACTGGATAAAGGAACCTCAATCAAATGCTGGAGAAGATTAACATTAACTGATTGACTCCATTCATTAGAAGCATTTCCTCTCTGTTCTCAGCTAGCGTAAGGTCCTAGATATGAACTGTAATAAAGAAAAGGCAAATTACATACAAAATAGAAGTGTAGTTAGTTCTTACTGAATCCAGGGGTTTCAACCAGTAAGAGTTTCCATTGACTACTTAGTGACTTGGGGAAAATATCAACAGGTTAACATGTTAAAATTATAGAGCACTGAAAGGATTGTGACATCATCTGTTCCATGCCCTTTATTTTACAGAGTGTTTTCTCAAGTCCTAACCTACCCACCTTTTAATAATTATTCTAATATATAATTACTCCAAAACTAATATGATTTTTCTGATTTCCAAAAGAACCAAAATGTACAAATGTTTAAAAATAAAATCCTTGTGTTCCAACTCCACAGAAATAACAACTGTTAGCACTTTGGTTTTCATTTTTCTAGACTTCTTTGTTGGCATATCTCTGTATGTATATGTGTACATAGGTGTGAGATACAAAAATGGGATCACAAGCTGTTTTACCATATAAGTACAATGGTTAAGCACCCTGATCATTCTAGGCTTAAATCTCGGCTCTTATAGTTATTATCATAAGACTTTAGCCAGGGTCCTTATCTGTAAAATAAAGATAATGTACCTGTTCATAAAGTTGTTAAAAATAATATAAAGGAGATAATATATGTGAAGTGCTTAATCTGGCATTTAATAAAAGTTTTTAATAACTCAACCTCTCTTATTCTATGTTGTACCTTATCACCATGCTTTCCTATTTTGATTAAGGAGCAGAGGCATAAATAGGTTTTATGTACATATTTTTTTAGCTCCTTAAAGTAATTATTGTTAAACTAAGAAAAATATATAGTTAAAATTTTATCTTGGCTTTTAAGATCTTATGTAACAATTTGTATTTTCATGTAAAGTTCTACTACGTGATTTAAATTTTCATAAGGCAAGATTGTTTTATCTTTCTTATTCAAGAGGAGTCTTTCATTAATTTCTAAAAATAAATACATTTTTGTCCCAAATTGATGTGGAATGCTAAATACTGTCTCAAAATTAAGTCAGTTAGAAGACTATCTTTAAATTTGTTTGAGGTTTTTATACTTCTTGTAATTTAATATTTATATACAAAGCAGTTCCATAGTTCAGTATTAAGACTGTGAAAGTAAATGTTCTTTTGTTTTTTTCGTTTTCTCTAGCTCAACTGAGAAATCATTTCCTTGGAGATCAACAGGTAATGACTTTTTATAATATACAAAAAAAAAAAAAGTTCTATGTGTTGCCTGTACCAAAAAAAAAAACAAAACAGTTTTATAGCCTGTGCTCTTTATTTTTTACCTCTTGGTGAAATAAGCCAAACAAAGCCTTTAATAATAACAATATTTAGTTACTTTGCTTTGAATGAGTAGTTTTCAATATGCTTAATTTTTACACATAGTAGAATAGATTTATATATGTCAGTTGCACACAAAAAACTTTAAAGCGTTGGACATCAACATTTTTAGTGTTCAGCAGGTTGTTGTTGTTGTTGTTTGCCGTCGAGTCGGCCCCGACTCATAGCTACCCCTCCTTGGGTTTCCGAGGCAGTATCACTACGGAAGTAGGATTGCCCAACCTTCCTTCCGATGAGTGGCTGGTGGGTTTGAACCGCCAGCCTTCTGGTGAGCAGTCAAGTGCCTTAGGCACTATGCTACCAGAGCTCCTAAGCAGGTATCTGACAATTATCTTTTCCATGAGAATAAAACACTGGGATGCCCTCAGAAGATTGTGTTGTATAATCTGGGACAGCTGGCTAATCATTTATATAAGTCATGGCCTTACCTTTTGCAGTGTTTCTCATACTCAAAATTGTTGCCTGAAATGTTCATTTTCATTATATTTTCATATGTAGAAAATCTGATCATTTCTAATGTAGTTTAGTATAGCCTGGTGCTTTTTAATATAGTCTCTTCATCTTTTTATCCTAAATTTACCTCATAGAAAGGATGAATTACATTATAGAGAATAGTCTGCCACTTTCCTAAGTATTTATTGTTTTCATACTCAGTCTTCATTCAGTAAATGTTTTTTGCCTACTAACATCAGTGCCCATGAGTGTGCCCATTGCTCGGTAGACAGCAGTGGCCATGAGACACACATGTCCCTCTCAAACAATGGAGCAGCAGTGTAAAGGGCAATGCCACAAGTCCATGCAATGTAAATGCTATAATAGACTTAACTATCTATATACTTAAGTGCTTTTCAAAGAAGGCTTGAATTGAGTGAAACTCAGACTACCAAATGCCTGGTATCTTTTTACCTGATAACTGGTATCTGTTTACCTGAATCTGCCACCAATATTCTATGTTATTTATAGTACATACGAGGCACTCTAGTGTTTTACAGAATAGCTATTTCTAAGAAATGTAGTGTTTACACAAACTGTGTATCTTAGTTCTATAGTGCTACTATAATAGAAGGAGCTCTGGTAGCATAGTGCCTAAGGCATTTGACTGCTAACTAAGAAGGCTTGATCCTTATCTATACTGTTTTTGGAGGGAGATAAGAAAGCAAGGGTAGTGATGGAAAATATAAGAGAAAGGTGGAAGAAAGTAGGGGCAAATGTTATTCAACCAGAAAAGAACATGTAATACATATGTGTGTGCATGTACATATAGGGAGCTCTGATGGTGTAGTGCCTGAGGCATTTGACTGCTAACCAGAAGTCTGGCGGTTCAAACCCACCAGCCACTCCTCGGAAGGAAGGTTGGGCATTCTACTTCCATAGGGATACCGCCTCAGAAACCCAAGGAGGGGTCACTCTGAGTCAGGTCTGACTCGACAGTACATTACAACAAAAACAACAATCTGTAAGAGAAATACCAAAAGTATTTAGCAAACATAAATTTATTCTCTCATAGTTTGGGAGACTAAAAGTCCAAATTCAGGGCACCAGTTCTAGAAGAAAGCTTTCTCTCTCTGTCAGCTCTGGAAGAAGGTCCTTGTCTCCTTTCAGCATCTGTGGGCCCTTGGAGATCTCCATGTGTCTTGGCATCAATCTTCCCCTGGGTCTAGGAGGTTCTCAGTGCAGTGACCCCAAATCCAAAGGACGCACTCTGCTTCTTGCTCTTCTTTCTTGGTAGTCCCTCCTCCTTTCCTCTCCTTTTATAAGATAAAAGGTAATATAGGCCACACCACTGGGACTCTCCCCTTACCAGATCAGGGATGTGACTTGACTAAGGATTGTGACTTAAATAAGAGGGAAGTATTCTCATTCTAATCCTGACTCATTAACATAACAAATGGAATGTAATCTTCTTTATCATAATCTAATCCTGTCTCATTAACCACAGTCAGAGGTTAGGGTTTATAACACATTACAAAATGGAGGATAATCATACAATGCTGGGAAACATGACCTAGCCAAATTGACACATGTTTTGGGGTGATACAATTCAATCCATAACACCATAGATAAGGCAGAAACATGTGGAAAACTACCTAACAGTAAGACACAGCAATTTAATACAAAGAAAGACACGTCATGAAATATGTGATTAACTGCCAAATAAGTTGTTATATGGGAAAAATAATTACAAGTAGACAACTTACTTCAGAGACATCTTTGTAGGGAAGATGGTGTAGAGCCTACTAGCACTTTTGGGTGGCCAGTTTGTGGAGATGACATTGTCATTGAACCACAGAAGAGAGAATAGAAATTTCATGTTGGGACATTTAAAATTAGTTTTGAGGGTGTGAAGATTTGCAAAGGCTAGAAAGCCGTATTGAATCCATTTATGGAGATCTGTAAATACAAAGAGTTTGAACTCTCTTGCAGGTGGTGGGGAGCCACTAAAAATCATTTGAGCAAAAAAGTCATGTAATTTAAATATCCTTCAGGAGGAATAGCAGAACTGTGAACTGGAGAGAGGAAAAATTAGTAGTAAGAGAAACCCAATTGCAAGTGTATTGCAGAATTTAGTATATAAGGTAATGTAAACCAGGATATTCCTAAGAACTAAGAAGAGGTTGGTTGGATGTGGAAGGAGTAGACGACGATCACTTGGAAGTTGTGAGTTTGGGAAGATGATGGAACCGTTAAAAACAATTAGGAGAGTCAGGATGAAGAGCTGGTTTCAGGGGGATGTAGAATATTTCAAATTTAGATGTGTTGCATTTGAGGTGATTAATGGGCAGCAAGCTAAAACATTCAGTAAACATTTAGAAATGTGAGTAAAAAGAACACCCTTAATATGAAGAAAAACACATCAATTAAACTGATAGACCCATGCGTATTAATAGTTAATTACGTGGCTCAGATATGTGGGCCACAGTGCTATGGATGAGGGACAGCCATGTCTCAGAGACCAAAGCTAAAACTCAGGTCAACAACCTATGCCTCTTAGCATTGTTTGTTCGGAATTGGTAAATTGCATGGTATGTGAATTCTGTCTTTTAAAAAAAGTTACTTCTTTTTATTGTCAGGAGGTAGTAAGAGAATGGTCTAATATCTGGCTGATGTTGAGAGAAGAGAGTCAGTTGACATACAGTGTTTCTCCCCAAGACTTAAGATTGGTTGTTATTTAGGGCAGGAATCAAGTCTACTCTATAGGTTCACAAGGTATTCTGAGGACCTAGCACAGCACCTAGTATATGGGAGACCACAGATAATTCACCATTGAGTAAATACATATATAAATGCATGAAAAAGTAAATGCTGCATGGAAAAAATAAATGTCATTGCTATGTTTGAGCATGTCCATACACATACACATACACAGAAGCTTCACAAATAAATCCTAAGCCTTTGGAAAATAGCACTTTTTCTCTCCACGTCAGTGCCTAGGAAAAAAGTCTAATCTGTAGTACTAATGAGTGAATATATTAATATAGTAATTAAAGATACACTTTGAAAAATAATGCACATAAAGGAGTTGTAAATTTTTTTAATCCTCGAAGTTCTAATACTCAAGGCGTTCTTTTAATTCTTTACTTGACTTTCAGTGCATCTAAAACCTTTGCAATCTAACAGGATTAACCCCATTGACCATTTGTTGCAGGTCTGCCTTTACGGACCATTTGTGCTAAATCTGTCAACGTAAAAATTGTGAGACAGGTGTTTGCTTTCAGTTCTCAATCAGTCAGTCAAGGATCTCTGGTTTTTGTGCTCTTGTGGTAGGATTCTGGGCAATGTTTTTTGTTTTTTGTTTTCCTTTCTGTATTGAAAATTTGGCACACACATGCATGTGAACTTGATTTTTTGTGTTCTCTCTTTTTATTATAAAAGCTTTATTGAGATAGAATTTGTATACCCTGCAGTTCACATATTTAAAGTGAACAATTCTATGGCTTTTAGTATATTTGCAAACTTGTGCAGTCATCACCACAATCAATTTTAGATCTTTTCATCACACCAAAAAGAAACTTGGTATCCATTAACAGTCACTCCTCGTTTCCTTAGGTAACTATTAATCTACTTTCTTTCCATGTCCAGAATTGCCTGTTCTGGTCATTTCAGATCAATGGACACATATAATACATTGGTCCTTTGTGATTAATTTCAGTTAGTATAATGTGTTTAATGTTCATCTATGTCATAGCATGTGTCAGGACTTCATTTCTTTTATTTCCAAATAATATTTCATTGTATCACTATATCATATTTTATTTTTCCATTCATCAGTGGTTATATGATGGCTGTCTGGATTGTTTCCACTTTTTACTATAATGAATAGTATTACTCAAACATTCACGTACAAGTTTTATGTGGCATTTATCTTTCGTTTTTTGTATATGTTTTCCTTTCTCTTGGGCCTGTACCTAGAGGTAGGATTGATAGGTCATATGGTAACTCTGTATTTAACTTTTGAGGAATTACTAGACTAGTTTCCAAAATGACTGCACCATTTCACCATCCTAACAACAATGCATGAGTGTTCAGTTCTTCACATCCTTACAAACACTTGTTATTATCTATTTTTATTATACACATCCTGTTGGGTATGAGGGAGTTCTGGTGGTGTAGTGCATAAGACATTTGACTGCTAACGAGAAGGCTGGTGGTTCAGTCCCACCAGCCACTCCTTGGAAGGAAGATTGGGCAGTCTTCTTCTGTAGAGATGCTGCCTTGGAAATCCAAGGAGGGGTTGATATGAGTCGAATCAACTCAATGGCAGTGAGGTTTTAATTTATTTATTTATTTATTTTTAATGTATTGGCTATGAAGAAGCTGTGGTAGCACAGTGCCTAAGGCAT